AACAGGCCCAGCTCCCTCAGCCTCTCCTCATAGGGCAGATGTTCCAGGCCCCTGATCATCCTCGTAGCCCTGCGCTGGACTCTCTCCAGCAGCTCCACATCCCTCTTGTCCTGTGGAGCCCAGAACTGGACACAATACTCCAGATGTGGCCTCACCAGCCCTGAGCAGGGGGGATTCTTTATTTCTTTGTGTGAAATAAAATTCTTTATTTCTGTGTGTGATCTCAGTCTTTGATATATGTCTGTCTCGGGGAGGCCTGCGTTTTCTTTCTCATGTGGCTGCCTGCTTTTGCTCTCACCTTTTCTCCCCTGCCCTCTCCTGTTTTTTTTTACCAGGAGAATATATATGCTCCTAGTCTGCAAAAGGAAAATAGGGCTTTCACCAGCACTGAATGGCTCTAATTCCAGGCATGAAAAATTGAAACTAAAAAGAGAGCCATAAAGGAAAGCTTTTTCTGTGCGGTTCCATGTTTTGTTACCTGGAAAAGAGCATATTTCCCCTTCCTGATTGATATTGATGTTCTGATTGGCAGAGGATATTTTGGCATTTTCAAATGTCAGCCTTTACTTGCTCTCCGTTCTACTGAATCTTGGCTTCAAGCTTTGGTGTGTTGTCTTGTCCGTTGGTTGTGTTGGTCTTTGAGCCTTGGCAGACTGTGTGTTCCTGGTTTCAGTAGGTCTGTCATCCCCCCAGAAGGAACATCCACATCTCCACTGATGATGGTTAAATTCATGCTCTTGCGTGGTTCCACATAACACTTCTGATGGACTTAGGTCACTTCCTATACTGCGTTCACTCCTCTAGAAGAGAAATTTACCCCACATCTAAAATGAGATAATGTAACCTGAAAGAGTAAAACGGATCATGCAGATTATATATACAATATTACAAAAATTTTCTTCAGTCTGTAAAATGAGTGTACAACATGCTTTCTGCTGGGCTTCAATTTTCTTGATAGCCTTGAAAGTTATCTATATACAATGTATATATTTTATTCTCATAATGGTTTTCTGGTGCAGCTTCAATCATCTGTGGATCCTTTGGGCAGCTGTGGTTCTTGCTTCTTGTTTGCTACGGTTGTTCAGTCGGTTGTTTGTGATTCCTTCCTACTGTCCGCCTGTTCTTAATGTTGCCTTTCAGAAGCTGAAAACTGTTTAAATTAATAACTGTGGCTTTGGTTTCTCTGTCTTGTTCCTGGCTGCTTCCTACTCATCTATCAGCTTTTCAGACCAACAGACATTTCCTGTGTGTTTTATTCATCCTTTACACAAGCTCCGCTCGACTCTCTTTACTCTTGTGTGAAATTTTCTTTTCTGTAAAGGTAAGAAAATGATTATTCTACAGGACTTGATTATGTAGTATGTGGTGAAGATTTATTTTCCTATGTTAATATGGGAATAGTTTCATTAGCTCTATAGCAGCATAATAAAATGACAGGTAACACTGCATTATCATTGACAACACTCAAAATCCAAGCACTAAAAGACAGATACTTCTCAGTCATTCAAATTTTTCACCTTTGGACAGAGACCAAGCATCAAAACTTTCATATAAACAAGTAATATTTGGTAAAATTAGAAGAATGTCAAGAGAGTCGCTACCAATTTATTTTATTAGCCATAGGCAGGTACTTGGGATACCTATTAAAATAATTTTACTGAACGTTTTGCTGCGTTTCTTCTAATTTCATTGTCTTTGAATATAAATGATAATTAGGATTACTATCCATTAGGAAGAGAATACTTGTTCAGAAAGACTTGACCAGGACACGTTTTGAACATGCTTATTCAAATGCAACTATTTCTCAGCCCTTTTATGCCTCTAGTTTCATTTCTGCAGTCATTATGAAATGAGTTTCTATCATTCCTAAGCTGGGTCCACTTCATAATTTAAAAATCATATTCATAATGTTTTCATATTATGGGTTTTCATATATGCTCTTTAAAATTAGCACTTTCTTGAGACTTAGATACGAGGTATGGGATAGTATTACGCTCACTAGTGGTAGGAGGTAAAGAATGTAGCTGTATTTTTGTCCTTCTGTAGAGCCAGTAATGGCTATAACGGTTAATATCAGGCTCTCTTGCCTATAGAGTTTGTAGACAACACAAGATAATAAAATGGAGACATTTTCATAAAGATTTTACCATAATTTACGTTCTGTTTAAAACAAGAGGCTTAAGAAGAAAGAGCTGTAGTTATCGAGGCAAGAGTTAATAGCTGAGGAAATGGTTTTGGCCCTGCTTCAACAAGACATCTATTTTTCATTGCAGGCATATGCTTAAGTGCCTTGCTGAATAAATCAGGAGCTTAGTTTTTGGAAGTAAATAATAATAGGACGTATTTTCAGGGTTCTGGAAAAAAAAAAGGCAAAATGAGTTTTGGTCCAGCTATTTAAAAGAACAGGGGGAATATCAAATACAAAATATGTCTTTCTTGACTATATAACAAAATCTTCTGGAAATTCTTATTTCTCAGGTACCAGTATTTATTTTGGCTCCATTACAGAATGCGGTTATTTGCCAGTTGGGACAAATCTCTCTAGAAAAGGGATCACAGAATGAGCTTTTTCTGTTCTTGCCATCTTGTTGTTAAGTAGATTGGCAATTTCTAGGAAGAAGAACAACATACACGCAAAGAAAAATAGTTGATATAGAAAAGCTTGAAAGAAATGAATCCTGGCAGTAGCTTCTAATGTCTTTTTTTTTTTTTTTCATGTTTCAATGGCATATGAGTCCTAATCGTCATGATTCTTTTAACCTAATAACTGTGAACAGCTTGTGATTCACCATTATAAAACTCATGTCTTCCAGCAATAACCTCACTGTAGACTTGGTCTGCAGTGGGAATCCTGCCAAAAAGAATGACGCTTTTTGCAGTATCCTTGGTTCATTGCTATATATTTGGGGATTCCTTCCCTTCTCTTCCCTGATGTTCCTAAGACCAAAAGCCTCTTTTAGGCTCATCTCTGTGTGATTTTTTTTTTTCCCAAATGCGGTTCTCTTTGGGGGGATGTGTGGGTGTGTGTTTGTGTTTTCTTGTTTATTTTTAATGGATTTTGAGGTCAGACTATGTGACCTCAGGACCCTGGAGAGAAGCTAAAACCTCCCAAGAGTGTTGTCCCAGCTGACAGTGTTTCTGTCACTCGCGTGTTACATTAAAATGGTCTAATATAGGAGATAAACAATTACATGCCAGTAACAGTCTTCTGTGGAATTCTTGCCCAGGGATCCAAATTTAAATTGGTACTCAATTTTAATGTGCCTTTTTGCAGGTGGGTTACCAGAGATTAATGCCTTCATTGTAACCCGTTCAGAAAGTGCTCAGCTGTTGCTGCAGAAACAAATGAACAGAAATTAAGAGAAGCAGTTGTTCATGAGTATGCGGGGAGGCAGTGAGTGTTTTGTCTCAGTGGGAATACGGTGATTTGGGATGGAGCTCCGAGGTCTTGAAACAGAACCGATTCTGCAAATTCGGAGCCTTTTTCGAAACCTTTGCTCAACATGAGCGTTGTTTGTGCCTGGGGGCAAGTACTGGAGCTTCTGCAGCAAAGTGCCTTTGGAGCAGGAGAGGCCTGGCTGCTACATGCTCTAGCCTCAGAAGTCTGTAGCATTGATTTGCAGATGGGCTTTATTCATCAATTTTCCTTTAATCATTTGTATTCTCTTGCCATTTCAGTCGCTACCAGAGGTGAAATTCTGACCTAATTAAAGCTGAGAGGAGATAACTGCTGGAATGGGAGGAATTTTGCCTCTAGTGTTTAGATGCCTTTGGTTCAAATGTAGAAATAATTAGGGTGTGTGGTATGACTGAGGTAGCAAAGATAGTCAAAGCCATGGAAAGAGAATAACAACAAATAATAGAGTTCAAATGTAGAAATAATTAGGGTGTATGGTATGACTGAGGTAGCAAGATAGATGGAAAGAGAATAACAACAAATAATAGGTATAAAGAGATGTTGTTTTGTAAAATTAAGAGTGAGATAAATTTAGAAGGGTGAATATTGTTTTAATGATCCAAATCTGAGAAATTTCATTAAATCAACTTGTTTCTGTCCTTATATGTAAAATATACTCAGAGATTACTGCCCTAAATAAATAGGCAGAATTCTGCGGTTACATTCTGGGTTGTATCTAAGCAGGTCAGGTGTAACGGGGGTTGTACTCAGGCCAACGAGGCGTTTTCTCTAGGAGGACCTGTCTGTTGTTCAAGGTGACTGTAGAACGCATAAGTGATAAATGGGAATTAATGAGAGATGAGGTGAATGTTCCTTACTCTGCCACTGTTTTAGAAGTTAGACATATGTACACCCTGCAGCATCAATGAATAAAATAGCCCAGAGGACCCTGCTGGTTCGCAGAGGCTGCAGTGATCAGCAGTGTTGATCAGTTGGCTTGAATTGCCTCCAGTGGAAAGCCGAGCAGTCAGCACGGCGCTCACCTCCGACTGCCCCGCGAGGTTGTTCCTTCAGCTGCGTGACCGCAAATGTCATCCAGCAGGACCAGCCTTGCTGAGTCCCACAAAGCAGGTGCTAAAATAATGCCTCAGGACTCAGGGATTTAAAGTGAATCAGCTTCCTTTCTTGTGGATGGATTTCCTGCTACTTTTGATTTTATGTTTCCTGAAATGGCAAACGATTTGCTGAAGGTATTCTGCATAGAGCTCAGTGGGTCTTGTCTTCACACCCAAATTATTTTTCATGTGACAAAAAGTTACCAGCTTCCAAAGTAATATTATGTGTGGTCATAGTGACTCATTTTATAAATTGCAGCTGTCTCTGATGTTTATACCACTATCCTTTAAAGTGTAAATTGAATTCAAGAATAACTTGGTGAGTTATATTTTCATTTAATTGTCTATGAATATAAATCACATCTCTGAATTTTTAAATAGCAATTACTGTATAACAATCTTTATTTTTCTGTTAGGTATGTGACTAGAGTAATTTCTCGAAAATACATACCTGATAGATATCCAGTAAACCCTAGAAACCGGGAAAAATGCTCCCTAACTGTTTTTCTTTCTCCATCCTAGTCTGCTCCCAGTTCTCAAGAGGGGTCTTTGCGATCTTCGGGTTCTATGACAAGAAGTCTGTCAACACCATCACGTCGTTCTGCGGGACTCTGCACGTCTCCTTCATCACGCCCAGCTTCCCGACGGATGGAACGCACCCGTTCGTCATCCAGATGAGACCCGACCTCAAGGGAGCTCTTCTGAGCCTCATCGAGTACTATCAGTGGACCAAGTTTGCGTATTTGTATGACAGCGACAGAGGTGAGATGCAGTATTTCTTATCTGCTGTTTGCTACATGTATTTCACTGAAATGCTGAATCAGTATTAGAAAAGCGAGAGGAACACCTACCTACAACAAACATGAACTTAATTAGAAATGTTTTCTTTAGGAAAAGGTACTTTCTTTTTTCCATGAGAAATTATTGGAATATATATTGCTGGAATTGCTGAAAACTAATGGTGAAGGATTACTCATGTTTTGGAAAGGAATTACCATGAACAGTCTGTTCTTAAAAAGAAAAAGAATTTTCTAAGGAGAAAAAGAGCTCATCTTAGCGTTTTCTCTTTTTTTTTTTTTTTTTAATATGCTGCTTATCAACCACACTGAGTTTTTAACTTGTGCACCGACTATTTAAAATCACAGGCTCAAACACAAACGTCAGTGAGCCTATTCTTTTCATCAGCAGCTATTTTTTTGCCACCTCTACAAATGACTGCCTGAACTCTTTGTTGCAGATTTGGGGTTCTTAAACTAATTGCCCAATTATCGGAAGCCTACAGCTACCACCTGCTCCAGTTCCAGTTATGTTGCAGGAGAGTTAAGGAACATCAAGGGTTGTCTACTGGCACAGATTCACTTCACATGAATGCAAAATCCAGAGGTGG